GAATAATCTTGTTACCAATTTATATCAATTAATTCTATTGAATTATTTCTATCATATGTTACACGAACTTATTTAATTTCATTATTTTTAATCGTTAAATAGATTCCATTTTGTTTAACTCTCAATCTAACAAATCAATAAATATTTTCAGTATATATTTAATTTAATAATAATTAATATCTAACTACCTGTAAAATATATTACAAATACATCATGTGTGTAAAACATATATTAAATCATATTCTTATACATTTTATATCATAATAATATTTTATATCATAATAACAAACCGTTGCATATTAACAATAACTTATAAATGAAATTTTGACTTTTCATATAAACAAAAACGTGAGAAGAAACTAAAAATTTTCATTGAAATTCGCTCAGAAAATAGGAATATTTGTGCCATTGAAATCGCTTTTTGTTTTATCCCGATATCTCAATCGGTTGCTAAAATATAAGGATTCAAAATCTCCTGCTTAAGACAGTGCGAAGATTTATGAATGGGCCCTATTTTTCTTAGAAACGCGCTTACTGTGTTTTTCCAGGAATCGCGTCTGTCGCTTGTCTGAAATTTGGGATAGGTCAGTGAAAGAAGATGAGAACGAGAGGTCCGAGTAAGCGACAAGGACAGAGATGGTAAACGATTAAAAATTACTCTTTTCTTTATACGACAATATCTCGGCAACCGGAAATTGTATCGGGATAAATGAAAAAGCGTTTTAAAGGGCAAGATTCCGCGCTTCCAATGATCATCCACTTTTTGACCGGAAGTTGATATCTTCGAAGTTATAGCGGTTCAAAGTTTCTTTGATTTTAATAGAGTTTAATAGAGCTTAAGACAAGTGATTAAAAATTACCTTTTTTTAAAATGATGATATCTCAGGAACCGGAAATTGTATCGGGATAAATGAAAAAGCGTTTTAAATGGTAAGGTTCCGCGCTTCCAATGATCATCCACTTTTTGACCGGAAGTTATTATCTTCGAAGTTATAGCGGTTCAAAGTTTCCTTGATTTTAATAGAGTTTAATAGGGGTTAAGACAAGTGATTAAAAATTACCTTTTTTTTAAATGATGATATTTCAGGAACCGGAAATTGTATCGGGATAAATGAAAAAGCGTTTTAAATGGTAAAGTTCCGCGCTTCCAATGATCATCCACTTTTTGACCGGAAGTTATTATTTTCGGAGTTACAACGGTTCAAAATTCTTCTAATTTTAATAGAATTTAATTGGATTCAAGATGAATAATTAAAAAATTACCTTTTTTTTACGCGACGATATCTCGGTAACCAAAAATCATATCGAAATAAATCAAAATGCGTTTTAAAATACAAGATTCCGTACTTCCAATGATCGTTCACTCGTTGTACGGAAGTTACTATCTTCAAAATTATAACAGGTCAAAGTTTTCTTAATTTTTATACGCTCAAGTTTTAAAGTAAATTTCACGATGAATATATATATCATTTCTAAAATAATTATAAGTTAAAATCTTACTTATTGAAGATTTTAAAAAGTTCTTTGTGATTGAAGAATATTAGATCTTCATTTAACCGTCTGATTCTGATTTAATCACATTGATCGAATCAAACGGATTTTGTGGACACTTACAACCGAAACATTTTGTGCTCGCTCCATTTGCGTAAAATAACGTCGAAACATATCGTAATATAAGATCTGCATGAAAATCCACCGCAATTCATTTATAGAATATAAATTTCTTCAATGAATTACCGAGTAAATTCGTATCGCTTAAACTCAAGTAGTGCCGTCATAAAATCGAGGCACGTACGCGTGCCTATTTTTGCAAACCCGCATTCCCGCTCCCGGCCTCCTAATCTCCCTTTGCCAAACAGAAGTATAACGTCCGTTCGGCCTGTCGGAATGGGATAAACAATCGAGGCTGGTGCCCGGTCGAAGGTTGCTCTCCGTACACTCTTGAAAAGAGCGGCGCAACAAGCTGCCGTGACCGTTCCCTCGCCCACTATTTTTCTCGTCCCACTTTTATTCTCCTCGATCTTCCCTCGATCAACACCCGAACATTCGAAAATTCCGATTCCCAACTCCTGTGGAATTTTCACAGCCGCCTGGCCATTCGCCAAATAACCTTACGCGTTGTTTCGAATCATTAACTCGTCGTATTTGCGTCCAGCCTCCGCCGTTCATCCTCTACCAAGAAATTCTCGAAACGGATTCTCTCACGTGGACACAGGAATAACTTCGTTATCCCCGTCATCGTCGGACGTCGTCTCGTCAAGAATCGCTCCACGTCATGGAAACGTCGCGGAGGAAAGGATGGTGAAAGAAAGGCGTCAAAGGATTAATTAAAGTCACCTTGACGAGTGTTGCTCCCGCTTTGATCCCGTTAATTAGAGGCTTTCGCCCCCGTTGTATTATTTGCGGGGTAGCCTCGATTCTCCCGTGGATCGACACGTGGTGTGAAAGTGAGAAAGTTTTCGAGGGTAGGGGTTGACGTGCACGTTCGTTTTCTAGCTATGCCGTGGCCTGAATGTTAAACGGAAGCGGAGGCTGCGATCTCTGGGGCTCCGTGGGAGTTTCCACGAAACGTACGAGGCATCTTGGATGTGAATCGTGCGCTTTCGGGAAAATAACCGGGCTGGTTTTAACCGACGATGAGATATCAATGAGATATTTATGGAGGATTACGAACGAATCTCAATTGATTCGATGAATCGAGCGTGAATTATTCGATACGTTTTTTATTTCATCTTTTTTTCCCTTTTTTTCATCGTAGATTAGAAGTTTTAAATGTTTCGGGTTCAAATGTTTTTTTTTTTTTTTTTAATGGAAATTGGTCGATATTTTTTTAAAAAGGATCGTTTTCTTAATTAATTATCATCCACTTGATTTTCGATTGGTTTCTTTTTTTACGTTTTTTCGAAATTTTTGTACGTTTGATGGAAAATTTTTTGTATTTTTTTCTTTAATGACGAAATATTAAATTCTTGTACGATTTTTATATTTTTATATCGGATGAAATATGTTTTTATTTCAAAGGATTTTTTTTTTTTGTCAATGGACTATTCACTAATCCTTCAATCTGTCGACGTATCTTTTTGATCTTTTTAATTCTGTTTGATTAGTTTTATTTTTCCAACATTTTATATATTTTTTTAATACTCTTTACGACGAAATATTTACTATATACGAGTGTTTTTCTGATTTATATATTTTCATTTTTGTTTTATGAATATACACGAAAATTCTAATTTAATTTTATCAAATATTATTTTGAAATAATATATTTTCGTCACTTTTTGAACATTTCGTATTAAATTTTTTGTTACACTTTAATATAATATTGCATTTTAATATCGATTTCGTTATTCTTATTATTATAATGATAATTGCAATTTTTATATCTTTGCACGGAATTTCTATCTTCTAAAAGAATTATTTTTATCTCCATTATATATTTTCATATAGTTTTGATATAAATCGATTTTGATATAAATTTTAGATTAAACAAATATTTGCGATAGTAAATGCGTCCTCACATCGAAGGGATCTTAGTTGGCAGTCCTGTATAAAAGTCCCATCTTTTAACACCAAACAAATTTCTTCGCTATTAAAATGCTTTTGCACGAAGCAAGGTTGCCAACCAATTCTTTATCGCGAAATCAAAAATGTTTCACATTATTCAACTTTTTTCCCCTTCTTATTTCCGTGATCGCCATTTTTCTTCGTGTTTATCTTTCCGCGGAACATCGTCCAATGCATGTTACAAAAATACTTTTTTTGTCTTGTAACATAATTCTCGCAAATTTCTCACGAGAAGCGAGAAAATAAAATTTCATCTAATATTTAACTTTATCCCATAATTCACATGTATGTTTTTTAAATGTAATTTATACATGTATCTGTACACTTTTCATATTTTATTGATTTATGATATTCGGGAGGATAAAATTTTGCAAATAATTATTTATTTATGGAAAAAGGAATTAAACAAATTATTCAATTTATTTTCTAAAGATTCATAAATATTTATAATATGCTTATGTAACAGTTCTCAAGTTGCAGACAAATATATTTCCGAGAAGAACTTTAGAAATCAAAATAACGAATAAACATTAAAATGTAACATTACAAAATATCTATCGAAATTCAAAATATCAAATATTAATAAGAAAAAAAAAATACATAATATATCACTTTCAAAATCCAAAAATTAATATTTCAAGGAAATAAATAATTTTTTTACGTTATCTTTCAATATAGATCGCGTTGCAAAATTTGCTATAAAGAAAAGAAAAAGGGGAAAAATCGAAATACGCTATAAATAGAAAAATAATGTCCACTGATTTTCACACGCACACAATAAAGTTAAAAATACTATTGACTTTGAACACTTCGACTTATTGTTAGCGCAACAGCTAATGAATGAAGACAAGCTAGCCGCTTACGTAACTCAAACAGGAAGTTGCATCTTGCCACTTACAGTTTATTTTTGACAATGTTACGCGTCTATCAAATCTTCGTCTCCATTTTCATACTTTACACACATTCAACGATCCGTATTAAAACCGAAAATTTCGATAATCCACGTCACGTTGTCGATCGAAAATGATTTTTGTTACACGCGTAAAAGCTTTGCCGAAAGATAAATTGATTCTCGTCGTTTATCGTTAATTGGAATTTGTTAACCATCGACTCGCGCGTTTCACGCGTGTTTGGCATTAAAGATAATTTTGAAAAAAAAAAAAAAAAAACATTTGTTAACTGGAATCATGTTCGTTGAAATTCGGCCATTTTTTTTTTTTTTTTTTACTCTTCTCTTCTGGTACAATTGTTAAAATCGATATTTCGATATTTTACAAATTTTTTGGACGCGTCGACTTTTAATTTTTATTATTTTTTTAAGAGGAAATATTGAGCTCGATTTTACAAATCACATTTCAACAAATAAATAAAGGGTTGAAGGATTTATTCGATCTCTGAGAGGGAGATATAATATTTGTTTTGAGTATAATTTTTCTTCTGGATGAGGGAAGTTTCGAAATTCGAAGGCAACGAACTATATACACGTGTTTTTCTTTTAACTATGCATGCGTGTAATCCTCTCGAAGACGAGTTCGCTGACCTATGCCACGTGGATTTTTCGAGGTCATTCACTATCGTTTATCGAGTTGTTCAAAGTTTAGAAGATCTTCCTCATCCTAGTTATTATCCTTCTCGAAGAAGTTCCGTTTAATTATGCATCAATTTTATCCCTCTCAACAATCAAAAGTTTGTAAACTTTTCTTATAATTCTAAAATTTGAAGATAAATACGTTATATAATTGAACATATGAAAAGATATATATAGTGTGATATTTTTAAAAAAAGGTAATACCATTTTGTAGATTTTTGTGTGACGCAATTGGTTTCGAAGAAAAATGATTGCGGAGAAAGAATGTCTGTATAAAAATTCTCGTAAAGTTGCTCGAACTGTGCTCGATCAACGTCCAAATTTACTCGAAACTACTGATTTTTCGTTTTTTTGAAGTATCTCATACCTCTCGTATCTCGACTCTGGCTAAGATCGTGCCTAAGATCGTGCCTAAGATCGTACTTACATATATACCCGGAAACTCGAAACGAAGAAGCCGAAAAATTCTCGAATTTTCATCCAATCATAATTTCCTATTACTTCTATCATTGTGAAAATATATAAGTTAAAAAAAAAAAAAAAAAGACAAACTCTTAAATTCCAAGAAACTACGAGTAATAATATTGAAAACTTTAATAGAAAAGTTTCCTCCTGGATGGTTCCTCAAAAAAGTTGGGGGAAACCAACTCCATCGTATTCCAAAGTACTTCTTTCGATTTCATCCGAACCGCGCAATTATTTTTATTTTTTACGCAGAAAATTTTTTTTCAACGAATTTACAAATTTTCACTCGTTCATTCATTTCTCGTCGGAAGAACGTTACTCCATCCCTCGGAAAAAGCGCCCCTATCCTCGTAAGAACGTCGCATCTGTATCCTCGTCGATCGTGGTATACGCGTAATAAAGTTGGAAAACACGGAGCGTATCAAGTGGAAACGTCCGTCTCGACCCAATTAACGCCTCCCAATTTGATCGTGGCGGCGTCTACACGCTCGATGCCGATCCACCACGCTCTCCAAGTCAGCGCGTTGCTCCGTGAGGGAATGTTTCGCGGTTATTTATAAGTTCGAGGGTCGCCGCTTAACCTTGTCCGACGTGGACCGTCAGGCATGTCACCTAAACGTTTTATTAACGATCCTCTTCCCCTCCCCTTCATCCGAATCGTTCCAATTGGGTCAGATCCGCGGATCCTATATTTTTCGCCACTTTTCTCCACTCTTCTTTCTTCGCTTCGTATAATATAATTTCGACTCGTGTTTTAGAGTGTTTTAGAGTCTTGGAACGATGGTATGGGGAAAACTAGACGAATTTCCGTCGAAGTGATTCGTTGAACGATCCGGAGGGAATGGAGTGGAAGATTTAAAAGTGCGTGGAGTATCGTAAATTCTTGGCAATTCTATACGTGTCGAGATAAATTCGATGATAAACATATTTGCGTCTCTCTATTCGCGCTCTGTATTCGTGATATTTTTGTTTTAGGCACGTGTGCCATGTAATCGAATTAGGATGGAGACGAGAATTTTATTTTTTTTAATTGTAATAAAGTATTACGTTACGATACAAAAATGGAAAATTTATTGCCTATATTTCTCTGGATTTAAGTTTAAGTCTCTAAGTAGTAATTTATTACTTCAAAGATGTTACACAGATGCTATAAATATGCCAGGAATATCTGTATCAATTTTTATGAAGACGCATTTTTGGAATAATTTGAAAGAACGAATAACAGGGATATTTTGTGTTTAATATAGTTCCATTCCGATGCAAATTGTTGGAATTTTTTAAATATTGATTATGTAAGTGACTCGATTCGAAAGTTGAGCCAAATAAATATTTTGTTTAAAAAGAGATTGCGGTTGTTTACCAAATTATCGTCCAACATATATTATTTTAAAGTTGTTTATAATCATAGATCATAAACGGTATAAAAGAGACAAGATAACATAAACTGCGCCTGACCATAAATTGCCCGTTTCCCCTTACGCGCTTCGCTTTCCTTTTTTCCTTCCCTCTTCCGCTCTTCGCTCTTTCCTTCCACTTTTTATTCGAAAAACAAAATTCAAGATTCCGCTTTTCTCAAATCAAAATTTTCAAATTTTCAAATTACATCAATCAATGATCCTCATTCACGATCGAAATATCTTCGAAGCGAATTTCTAAAAAGAAAAAAAAAAATTCACTTTTCTTATATTCCTATTATTATTTTCTAAAATTTTATAAAATACGATAATAAATATCGAAACACGATATTGTTTTTACGTTTTTAAAAGCGTTGCAGCATCTCAAATGGAACCAAAGGAAAAATATCGAAAACTATCGAACCATCCTCGTGTTATTAACCGAGCAAACAAATGGAACACAGCCTCCTCCACTTCGCAACACGCGTTCCACGAAGGAATCTCGTTTTCGTATCGAACGAAAAGAGAATTAAATTATCCCGTTCCGATTGTTTCGATGAAAATCAGACCACCGGCGGAGCGGAAAGGAAGGAGGGGAGGAAGGGGCATATTTCGCTCGATGCGAAAATATTTGCCTTGTATCGAGATCTCGATGGGGGTGGGAAAATTTTAAAAAGGGGAGACGATCTGTAAAAATACAACGTCCACCCACCGGCCATCGAGAGCACACGGCGTGGAATATTTCAAGAGCGTTTCGCCTATTGGGATGCAAGCGGTGTTAAACTGTATTTGGCACAAGTTGTTTCGCATCGTCTGGGAAATCCGAGGGTTAGCAACCGCGGCGTAACACCAAGTATTTGTCAATTCGAATCGTTTGTGAATCGAGTTAGGTGGAAAATCGTGCTGTCGTCTTATTTATGAATCATGAATGATACATGTGTAGCATTATGCCGGGGAATATTTTTGCGTATATATATATATATATCTCTCCCTCGTGTGTATATCCGTCTTCTTTAACTTTTCATACTTTTAATTCGAGAAAGATGTATTTTCACACGTTGTGTTCGTATCTTTTTGGACGAGCTACAACATTGAATTGAAAAGAAAGATTAGAAAGATATATTTTGTAAATTAGAAATTTAGAACGGAAATTTATTTCAATATGTAAAAATTCTCGTTGTTATTGAAGTTAATTGATATTTAATAAAAAAATGGAGGTATAATTTTAAAATTTGTTATGTTATAAAATTTATAAATAATGTTATTAATATGTGTAATAATGGTACAATAATAATTTTATCGATATGAAATAAAAATTTGTAAAATATTGGAATTAATATAAAGATAATATAAAGAGTTTGAAGTCTAATTTCAAATATGTTTTCTATTTCTATCCATTATTATTATATATGTAAAAATCGCTTTGTACCTCTATTTCATCTTTACCTGCACCTTTTTTTTTTTTTGTAGCAAGAGTGCATTGTAAGCGAAAATACTGTGTCAATAGTACTACTCAATCTCTATCAGTAGGGATTTGCCTACAGAAAGTGACAATTCCAATAGGCTAAAACCTTTGAGTATCATTGTTTCTTCTTTATCTCGAGTGAATGTAATGGAATCATCGTTTCTCTTTCAACCACAGTAGGATCAATTTCACGTCGAAACTCACGAGGAAAATATATTTTTCGTTCTGACATCTGAAAAAATCGAATGGAAGTGTTATATGATTAGTATTTTATGAATTTTGTTAAATGATAAATATACTTGAAGAGAGCATAAAATACTGTTATATATAATCCTTATGGGAGGCTCAATTTAACTCTTTACTACTGGTAAATATTTAAGTTATTTTTAAATTTTTTTATATGATCATATCTAAAGAAATTTTAAATTTCTTTGAATGCGTTTTAATATCTATTCTTTAATTTAATATTTAAGTGAAATTAATTTTTTCTCATAGTGGAATTAAAATTATAATATGAAATATGTAGATATTGTATTAATATACATATCTATTTAATCTTTTAATTTCGTTAAAAACTGTCATGTGATATTATTGTGTTTTTTAAATAAGATTTTTGCATTAAATTATAAATAAAAACTCGTAGAAATTATATTATACGTAAATCGTTTAATGATTCCTAATTTGTATCCTTTTGGATCTGTCAATGTACTGAAATGGGGATTCACTATGAACTGTTTCATAAGCTTTAGGATTAAAACTTTTCTGAGAAGGATTATTAAGGACATATACTGAGTGAAACAGAGCATAATTGCATATTTTAGTTGGGAATTTATTCCTTTAATTTACATTCTTAATTTATTTAATAAATACAATTTATATGATAATATTTTTAATAATTTATCGAATTTCATTAAAATTTGTTTTAAAAATGAAAACAATTTATCAAATTATTTGTACTAATTTTAATAAAACTTACGAAATTTTATTGATTTTATTTATTAATAAATAAAGAAATAATAATAATATCAATATCAATAATATTAATATATATTTCAATTTCAAATTTCAATCAAACTTCAACCATTCATTTATATACCAATGATAATTACCATATTAGAAGAATGTTGGTAATCTAATATCAATATCATTTAAAAATCTTACATAATTCCTTTTTATAAATCTTCAAACCTTAAAGTATAAAAAAATAAATATCTTCCATTATCCTCCATTCTTTTCCTTCAAACTTTAAACGAACTCTATTAAAATATATATAAAAAAAAAAATAAATAAAATAAAGGAAAAAGATGACACCAACGATAAATAACGAAACGCTTCAATTACTTTTTCAAGTATGGTTAAATCCTCGAAAATCTTGCTGTCGAGAAATTTTCCAGCGTCGAGAGTAGCACCGGTATCAGGCCGGTTTCTATCTCTCAACTCGCGAAGAGTCGCAACCAGGACCACGCCCTCGGCAAAGAAGCGACGCCGACGCCGACGCCGACGTCGTGGTCCCCACTTCTCCGCCACGTCGTTCCCCTTTCCCGGCGCGGCGTGTACTAGCCACCGAGCAGCGTTCCTCTCTCTCTAATAGTCCCCCCACTCCAGCGCTCAGGCGCCTCCACCCCCTCACGAGCAGCCTGATGGCCCCAGGATCCTCGTCAGAGCGACTCGACTCATCGTCGACGGTGACTCGTCGCGTGTCGTCCAGTCTCTCACCGACTTCGCGCCCGTCAACGTCGTCGTCGTCGTCGTTGTCGTTTTCGTGCCACCGCCGTCGCCGTCGTCGTCGTCGTCGTCGCTCGTCGTCGCCGTCGTCGTCGTCGCCGTCGTCGTGCTGGTGGTGTTGTGCTACTCACTCCGGTGTCAGACGTGTATTCGTGAAACCAATCGAATTTCTATTCATCGGATTGTTCGTCTCTCGTGTTTGCCTCTTTTTTTTCGTTTTTGCTGTCATGCACGTTCTTTGTGCATGTATATACGCGTAAGCATCGCTTGTCTTATTTCGTCTCGTTTTATTTTGCACATATACGGGTGTATATGCATATATGTATATGTGTATGTGTGGCTGGCTCTCATAGACAAGTTACGCGAGAAGTTAACGGAGATCAAACGGAATCGAACGAGATTTACTGTGGATCGATGAGAAGACCGGCATATAGACGTGAAGTTAGCGGAAGCTGACCGTTGACACGTACGAAGTGCATTCGGTTTGTTATTCCGTCCTGTGCCTGGTCACCATCGTATTTGATTATCCAACGCGGATCTTTGTTTATCTTGATTCCGATCGATTGTTCGTCAGGGGATATCGAGAGGTGTCAACTGTCCATTGTTGCTGCGTGTGTACACGCCTATACAAACGCGTCTAGGTTGGGAGAAACGCGTGGAAAAGCTGTTTTTGCCGGTCGAAGTGTTTGTTCTATTGGCGAGCTTGTTCTTCAAGGTATGTATGCGAATATTCTTATCATTTTTTCTTTTGACGATGTTTATATAAAGCAATTTCAGCGTTTATATCGTTTTAAGTGCGAGGGAAAGTTTAACACATACGTGGTTCTATAGTGTCGGTGTGGCGCTGCCCATGGATCACCGGTAGTTCGATTCGCATAAATATATATTCCCGCGAAAGTGTCGGATTTATATAACACGTTATATACACGTGGAATAATATGTTTGCCAACAATATTAATGAATACAAATTGTTTCTTATAACCCAATTTCAAAGTTTTTTATCATTTCCATTATTTCTTAGGCAATTCGATTATTCGATATTCAATTTGTGCGATCGATATATCGATATACTTTGTTCTACGTCATCAGTGACAAATCTAGTCAAATGACAGATTTAATTATATATTAATTTTTCTTTTAAAGTTGATATTTATTTTATTTCGTTAATATTTTGAAAAATATTTTTTATCATGATTTTTTCGTCCATATAATTATTAATATTTACCATTAATATATTACTATTATTATTATTGTTGTCTACAGTAGTATTGTAGTGTTGCAAAGTAGTGAACTAGCCACGCGTGTCCTGACACAAAAATAGTTTGAGAATGTTTAAAACTTTTGATTTATATTGCTATCAAAATAAAGCACAAGTGCGGACGAAATTCCGAAAATGTAAATACATAATCGATCGTAAATTTCGGGATGGAACGGTTAAAATGATCAGTGAAATTGTAAGTGGTGTATGATCGTGGTTTTCCATTTTGAATTCCATGTTCGAACGTACTAAGTAAGAAATATAATTGCAATGGACGAGTCCAAAAATAAAAATGTTTATTGTGACGTGTCGTTTATTTTTATATTGATATTATTTGCCAATATGTTCATTGCGATCTCGAACATCCATTAAGACACCAGATATATATACGAGAAATATCACATGGATCGTTGGACTGCGTTCGAACATGTATAATCTTGAAAATTTAGGACAATCTTTTAAAAGGTATGTTTTTTTTTCACTTTCTCTTTATAACAATAAATAATATTGATTTTTATTAATTCATTTCAATGATTTTCATTAATTTTTATATTTGAAAAATTAATTTATATAATCATTACATATATTTTTAATTATAGGTTAGGTATTCATTTCTAATATAAGATTAACTGTAAAGTTAAAATAATTTATTATGTTATACTAAGAAATTTAACACATAATATAGAATGTTGATATAAATCAATAATTATTATGAACATTTAAAAATTTTTTTTATTTCTTAATGATAATTTTCTTATAAATAATTTCTTATAAATAATTTATATAAATTTGTTTATAATTTGGAAATATTAAAATAGCTTTAAAATTTTTCATTTTTTTTCTACATATTAATATAATTCAAAGATAGATTGTTTAGACATATATAAAAATTGAAATTTTTTATACATTACAGATAAAAATTTTTCATATTTTTGAAAATAGATGGGTGTTTATTAAAATTTTCTTATCTGGGAAAAATTTTAGTGTGGCTTATAAAATTAAATTTCGTATTTTCAAACGAGTTTCCATCAAATCTCTCTACGTGTAATTCTTGATAGAAATTTTTTAAGAAACTAGAGAACATTTCGCATTCGACGAACGATGATGTTCGTGAATAGCTAAGTCTTTGAAAAGAATTTAAAACATGTCTTCTCTTTCCTGGATTAAAAATTGCTTAAATTCATTCGAGATTTTCAATTTAAATTATTCATCTTACAATATGAAAAATATTGTATGATAATTGGATTTTCATATTAAAAAATGATATGGATATATTTTTTTTAAAAAAAGAAATAAGTAAATACAGAAAATGATATTTGAAATTTTGAAAATTACGTATTAATTTTTCAAATAATTTTTCAAAAAAAAATTTTTTATTTTCTGAAATTTATATTTTCAGAAAATATTTTTTATATAATAAAATTTTTTAATTGTGCCAATTTTTCTAATTAACAGATTTTTCCTATAATTTTTTATTTTTCTATTAATTAATTAATTTTTCAACTTTTTTATTTGAAAGGATTTAAATTTTTTTTTGACATAATCTTCAAATCAACTTTATTTATTTCAAATTTTCCATTATTTAATTTTTTCAATTTAAAAATATACAGAAATTTTTTTAAATATATAAATTTAATTTTATTTATATTTTTTAAATTCAAAATTTTCTCATGTGTACTTTTTTGCTACCAATTATAATAATAACAGATAATTAATATTTTTATACATTTTATACATATGCAGATATAGAAAAATATTTTTTCTCAATATTTTTTTTTCTGTATTTGTTTTATGAATATATATAGTTGCAGACACATTTATTGAACATCGATATTTCAAAGTATATTGAGGATTGAAGGAGCTGTCCAATTAGTGATGTAACATTTCATGCAAAAAATGCATCATTACGAGCCTATATATGTATATTTTTGATGATTATTCTTTCAATCCTCATCATTTCTCGTCCCAGATTATTCTTAGAGAAATTTTGTTGAAAATTTTCTGTAATCATTGCTTCAATTGTTTTTGAATAACTTCTTCGCGTTAATACATATCAATATCTCGTTTCTTTATTTTGTTATTATTTTGCACATATTACTGATTTCGTCTTTTTTTGTGATAGTTAATAATTAAACATAAAATAAAATTATATATAATTATATATACTAATTAGATTGAGAAGAATATTAAAAACTTTTTTTATTTTCGAAAAGATAAAAAAGTGAGGTTATAAAATAGTTGACTTAATGAAATATAATGATGGATATAGTTAAATTAAAATTCCAAATAGCATTGAATCTTTTAGAATTTTTTGTATTTTTAAAAGATCCGATTTTTCCGATTATTTAAATTATTTAATTATTACGTTGGTATAAGACCAATTTCTTATTAAAAATATTGTATTAAAATAATAATCTAAATTTTATATTATAAAAAATTTTAATAATAAAATAACGATTTTTAAAGATTATTAATAATTATTTCTTATAATTAAAAATTATAATTTCCTATTATTAATTATTATATATATATATATATAATTATAAAATATATAATTATATATATAATTAAAAAATCAATTATAATTACAAGAAAGAATTTTAATATTTATAAACGAGAATTTATTTCATTCATTTCAACAAGGTTTGAGGATAAAAAATAATAATGATCATAAGATAAAATATTAATTAATTTTTTAGTAGGTTTTTAATTATCAGTAATTATATCCCAAGAAATTTTATGACATATCTAATGAAATTTAATCATATAAAATTAAATCATTTTTCTTATCATAATTCTTTTTTTTTCTTTTATCATTCTCCTCCTTTTTCACTTTATCACTCTTATCCTTTTCCTATTTATCATCCTTCTCTTTCTCCTCTTTCACCCTATTCCTCTTTTTCTTTATCACTTTTGTTCTTTTTCTCTTTCTTTTTATCATCCTCTTTTTCTCCCTTTTTATTATCCTATTCCTCTTCTCCTTTATTATCCTCCTTTGCTTCCTTGCTTTCAGCATTCTCCTCCTTTCCCTTTTTATCATCCTATTCCTATTCCTCTTTATCAGACAACTATTCCTCTTCCTCTTTATTCATCCTCCCCCCTTTTTTTTATCATTATCTTTCAATTTAAAATCGCAATTAAATTTTTATTTAAACGAGAAAGTTGAAAAATTTTTATTAATTATATCAGAGGAAAGATTAACGCTTATACACGAGTCGTTATATGTTCTTCCACTCGTATGAACTCTCACTCGTATCCATTATTCGCGACTTCCGGTCGAGATCTCTCAGGAGCAAAACGACCAAATTCGAATAATGGACGATTTGTGCTATGGGCAATTGTACCTGTGGGTTCTATGGTTAACCTGGTCGGTTATTAAGTCACGAAACATACGGCCTTGTGCAGTGGATTTAACCCAAAAATATCCATTAAAGATACTGCTCCGATAATTATCCGCGCAATTTGTTCCAAGACTACGTTTTTTTACGTATGATTAGAAAATTGAAAAGTATCGAAAGTATAGCAAAAGAATCTAAAAGGATTTTTTTACTTACGTAAAATTTACTCGTTGCGAAGAATTGTATAGGTTAGGTTTGCACATAATTTCACATTTTTCGTGATAAATACTATCACTTTAATATCTGATCTAATACTAAATTATTATAATCATTTATCATCTAATTGAAAAATCACTGAAATATTATATAAAATTAAAAAAAATTATCTTTCAACAGAATTATTTAATTTAATAAATGTTAAATTTTTTTCCTAATAATTAATCTTGACAGATTCACTTAATATAACAGTATTAATTTAACGATGTTTCGTAAACGTGAATCGATTTTATTTTTAAAATTCTTTGCAATACTCATCATTTCACTTCAATAATTTTGTTTATCATTTACGAGTCATAAATTTATCAATTTAGTTGTATCTGTCTTCGGTATTGAATCAGTGAAATCGAAATGTGAGATGAAATATTCGAGAAAATATGTACATACATGAATATACATTGTTCATGATTTTAAAGAATTATGAATTTAATTTATCTCGGTTATTTGTCCAATTTTTATCTTTAAATAAATAAATTTATGTAGTTATTTTAATAGATTTGATAGTTTTGTTATTAAATTTACAAAAAAATATACAAAAAATAACAAATCTCTAATTAGATTCTATTTCTTTATAAAAATATCCATCGATAATGTATTTATAATTTACAAAATAATAGATTCTACGTACCAAAATCGAAAAGAATCCGATATAATACAATTCAAAATGGATACGAAGAGAACATTGCAATAACAAAACATCCAGAAATATATTTTTGTACAGCGTTGCGCGCAATCATCGTCGAAAAGTCTTGTTACCACGAGTGAAAGTGGAAGAAGTCTTTGCTGAAACTGAAAGACTAGACAATGAGGGCTGCTTGACATTGTTCCTCGAGGAGGCTGTTA